GAGCAACCCTTCGTGATCTAGGCAGATGCCAGTGACACGGCACTAGGAGCAGTGCTACTCCAAAGAAACAACCAAGGAAACTTACAACCCTGCAACTACACCTCCCACAAGCTCACAGATGCAGAGAGATGATGTGCTGCATGGGAAAAGGAGACTCTCGCAGTGAGATGGGCACTGCTAACCTGGAGACACGTGTTGGAAGGGGGCCAGAAACCATCTGGACTGACCACAAAAATCTGGAGGCGCTCAAGACCCCTTGGAAACTGTCATCCAAACAAGTCCGATGGGCTCAATACTTCAACTGTTTTAATTTTGTTTTAAAGCATATTCCAGGGGAGAGGAACTTTCTAGCTGACGCCCTCCCCTGCATGCCTCAGTACCAATGCGAACGGGAGCACGTAGTGGATGTCATCATTCTCTCTACTCAAACAGCAGCCCAAGTGACCACCAGGTGGCAATGCCATGCTCAGGAAGACCAACCCACAAGTGACCTAACCACGAGGCTCAAAACCGAACTGCTAGCAGACCCTTGGTTCCAAAACAACCAACACATCTTGACAAAAAGAGATGACCTTACAATGAAGGGGATGAAACTCTANACAACAAAAAAAAATTGTACTTCAATGTCTTAATGATTGACAAATGATGACATATTTGTGTTTTTTTTTTAAAGAAAAATAAAAAAGTTCTCTTAGATATACAGACCAGAACTCTGGGGGGAGCTCCGTTGAGCCCCCGACGACGACACTCCTCCCCCGGAAGTCCCTCTCGCTCTTCTGGATCCCCACCCCGGTTCACTTTTTCCAGCTCCCTAGCAGCTGTCCCCACTGCACGGCTCTGAAGCTGGTCAATATGTCGGCGCCACTGTCGTCCATCCTCGAGCTCCACCCGATATGAACGGGGACCCGTGACTTCTGTGATATGTGCCAGCACCCATAGTGGTTGATCGGTATAATTTCGGGCACATACTCAGTCACCTTGCTCAAATGTTCTGACTGTATTTTCCCAGTCTGAAAGGGTTTCTATCGAATAATCTGAATGTAATCTATCTAGGTTTGTTCTCAGGCGGTGGCCCATAAGTAATTTGGCTGGGCTCCTACTGGTGGCTACACAGGGAATGACGTGTTGGTTGAACAAATACTTATTAAGTTTCTCCTGATAGTCTCCGGGGCCCATCTGAGTCAACGCCTCTTTCATCATTCGCACCATTTATTCTGCCTGTCCATTACTTTCAGGGTGAAATGGCGCAACAAGGGCGTGAGGTATTTCTTGATTTGCTAGGAATACCTCGAATGCAGTTGCCATAAATTGAGGCCCATTATCTGATACCAACACATCCGGCAACCCATGTGTTGCAAACATTTTGTTTAATACCTTGGTAACAGCGTCCATCCGAGTTGACTTCATCATGGCCACCTCCAGCCATTTGGAATATGCATCGACGACAAATAGAAAAGACATTCCATTTATCGGCCCTGCAAAATCGATGTGAATTCTAGACCAGGGGCCTTTTGGTGTTTCCCAGTCCTGTGGTGGCGCTGAAGGAGGTGCCGGTCTCGATTCCTGGCATGCTTGGCACAATGCTACCCACTCCATGAGATCTCTATCTATATTTGGCCACCGCAGATAGCTACAAGCCAACGCCTTCACCCTTATGATCACGGGGTGGCCTTCATGTAGAGTCTCTAGCAGTGATTTCCTTAGCCTTGAGGCTATCACTACCCGGTTCCCCCACAACAGGCAACCCTTTTGCACAGAAAGTTCATACTGCCTTGCACGGAATGGCTTAAACTCTACACTTCCTGTCTCTTTAGGCCATCCCCTCCACACCCAGTTTAACACTTGCATGATTGTTTGATCTTTTCTTGACTGGTTTGCCACTTCCACAGCTGTAACCAGTTTGGACGGCATAGTTTCTATCAGCAATACCGATGCTGCGGGAGCTGGATCCTCCACTAGATTTGGTAGCAGACAATGGCTTAGGCTGTCAGCATGGCCCAGTTCTGTGCCAGGTTGATGTATAAGTCTATAGTTCTATGCTGCTAAAAACTCTGTCCAGTGCGTCATCCTTGGAGACAGGATCTGCGGTGTTTGCTGGTCCCCTGAAATTAGTCCCAGCAGCAGCTTATAATCTGTTACTAAATCAAATTTCCTTCCATAAACATATTCATGGAATCTCTTAATACCGGCAACCGCAGCCAACGTCTCTTTATCAAGTTGGCTATAGTTCCTCTCAGCTGATGATACCGTCCTGGAAAAGAATGCTATTGGAGCTTCATGACTGTCTGGAAGGCGATGACTTAAAACTCCCCCAACTCCAAATGGGGATGCATCGCACATCAGGACTAATGGCAGGTGTTCATTATATTGGACTAGGACACTGTCTGAGGAAATTAATTTTTTCACCCCCACAAATGTGGCCGCTTCTCTGCGTCCCCAAACCCATGGCACCTTTTTTCCTAACAGCTAGTGTAGTGGTTCGGCCACAGATGCCTTCTGTCGCAAAAACACACTATAGAAATTGAGGAGTCCTGAGAAAGCCTGGAGTTCCATCTTATTCTTTGGTGTTGGTGCAGAATGTATTGCTTGTACTTTCTCTTTGGTAGGGTGCAATCCAGATGCATCAACCAAGTAACCCAGAAACTCGACTTGATTTACTGCTACTTTACACTTTTCTTCCTTTACCTTTAGCTCAGCCTCTTGAAATCTTTGTAACACTACTTGCAGTCATTCAAATAGTTCAGGTTTACTGGCAGTGGATATGAACACATCATCGAAGTAGGGGACAACCCCAGGGATGCCGTGTAACAACTGTTCCATCAGGCTTTGGAACAAACCCAGGGTCACACTTACCCCAAACTGTAGGTGACGACAACGGAATGCCCCCCCCCCGATGCGTTATAATAGTTTGGGCTTCTGCAGTGGCATCGTCCACGGGGAGCTGTTGGTAAACTTGGGCCAGATCTAACTTTGCGAAGACCTTACCACCACCACCACCACCACCACCCCAGCGAATGTAACAAGTGCTGCACCACTGGTAGCGGATACGCGTTCTGTTGAAGAGCCCTATTCTAAGTATATTTATAATCAGCACAAATCCGGACCGACCCATCTGTTTTCACTGGCATCACGATGGGGGTTTCCCACTTGGCGTGGTCCACCGGTTCCAGTATGCCTTGTTGAATCAATTTATCCAGTTGTTCATCAACCTTGGGCTTTAATGCAAATGGCACCTTTCTTGGTTTCATTCTTATTGGAGCCACTTTAGGGTCCAAACTGAAGGATATCAGGGTAGCTCTATATTCTCCCAACTTCCCATTGAACACGTCTGTGAACTCTTTACTCAACTCTCTGATGGTCTCTCCCAGGATTTTGTGAACCCCAATAATGCCTAACACTGTATCCACTTCCATCAGGCAGGGCGATCCTGCAATATGGACAGTAATGTAAATTTTACTACTTCCCGAAATCCCGGTTTGATTGCTCACCCTCTCTAAATGACGGGTGTCCGTATTAATAGTAAAACACTCGTCCCATGGGGTTCTCAGTCTTGGTGGGCCTCACTTTCCCCCAACATTATGACTTGGAGTCTGTCCTGTTGGGGAGGCAGGCAATGCGGCACGGCAAACTTACACTAGATGACCCTTCTTCCCACACCGTCTGCAAATGGTATTTTTATGGCAACATGTAGCTCTCTGGTGGTTTCTGCCGCAACCTATGCACGAGGAAGACAGCCTCCAATCCTCGGTCACTCTGTGATTCTTGTTGGCCGCCCTCAACTGATGGATGTCAGTGTGATTATCTTCCTCATCTTCAGTGTCCCCCTGCAATTCTGTCTCTCCCCAATGGACAGTTGCCCCCCTTCTAGCTGTCTGGGGGCTGCCTGACTTCTGTATCTCTTCAGTTGATCTATTCGATGATTCAGCAGCTTGCGCCTCCTCTACTGCTGTTTGTAGTGTTAACGTTGGTTTTGCCAGTAATCGTCTCTGTAACCGAACATCCCAAACCCAACAGACCAATCTGTCTCAAAGGGCTTCGTCTAAGTTGCTAAATTCGCAGCAGATAGCTGCCTTCCAGAGGGCTGCCATATAACAGCTGATAGACTCACCCTCCACCTGGTCCCTATGGTAAAAAGCATGTCTTCTAGCAATGCAAGATGGTCGGAGGGGGGGCATAATGTTCCCGCAGTTTACCCAATAATATGTCCCAAGGAACCGTCTGAAGGGGTTGGGGCGCAATGAGGGCCCTTACCTCCCTTCGTCCCATCAGATCGCATAGAGTAGGCCTCCTCCGAATTCCATCCGCCAGTCAGTGNTAATTTTCATTAAGAAAGGTATACACATTATCTACTTCCCTCAAAAATGCCCTTTGCATTTTTAAGACCCAAAGGGAATACCAAATGAGGAGTAATCTACACTTTGAGGAGGGCAATTCTATTGGAAAGAATGTGCAGACAGGAAGAAATCGTCAATTACTCAGGTCAAAATGGTGGCCACCTATTTTTTTTTATCTAAACTAAACTACAGCCACAAGCTGGAGAGAAGAATCTGGCCTCACTCAGAAAGCAGAGTTTATAAAAAGTTCCTTGCACTTTTATGCTGGATATACCTCCACAAGGAAGGGGACATGTATTTCTCTCTGTAAATGACCTTTTTCCACATCTGATGTGTCATTTCTGTTTTACCTCCCTCTAGAGAGATTCCTCTGCACTCCTGTGCATCCATCTGCAACCCTTGAATTTTTGGATGGAGAACCTGCAGCCTTCCAACTGGGGTTGGACTCCAACTCCAATGACTCTCAGCCAACATGGTCTCAGGGTGATGGAATTGAAGCCCAACACTTCCTGGATGGTCACATGTTTCCCAAACCTACTTTGCAAAAGAAAAGAAAGGGCAAAGAAACAAAAAACAAAGATCTCCACAACAAGTCCATTTGTCTATCTTTGAATCAGAGCTGGATCCATCTCACAAAGTCAAGAGTCAATCCAGGGTCACTTTGAACTGCTCATCCCAAAGGAGTCCTAAATCGTGAAGAGCATCTTCTAGAAGCCAGGGAGTGATTTTTCTTCTCATCCATCCAGGAAGAGATAAGTTCCATACTTATTCCTGATACTCTGTATTTCTTGGAGGAACCATAGACCCACTTGGCTGGGTATTTGAGGCAGTTCTTCTCTATTTTACGGAGAGCAGCTGCAGGGAGATCCACATGTCACTTGTTTGCCAGCGCAACTAGATAAATGAGACCATCACTCAGCTCATCACTGAGGGCCTCACGCTCTGATGATGTCCACCCTGGTAGGTCTTTGGGAGCTTCTTCCCGCCATTGGCTAAAAAAGACCACAGACAAAAGCACTGAGTGCAAAAAAAAAAAAAACTTAGATGGAGCCAGATTGAAGAGGGATTGAAGGAAACCTGAGGGAGGTTCTCTTCTGATGAGGTTCTGAACCAGTTTTTCAATCTTGACAAGCCAATATCTGTGGAAAACAGACTTCAGCACCACAGCTTAAGAATCCTTCTCTCCCATTCCTTTCTTTGGTGAGTAGAATAGGGCTAGGAAGCAACTGTCCATACTTGGGCTTGCTCTGGCCATAGGTTGTGTTATTTATTTATTTAGCCCAGAAAGAATTACTCTAGCCTTAATCTTAAAAAAATATATATTTTTTAAAAATCTGATACAGCTACTCCTCAAATTACAGTCATTACTGAGCCCAAAATTTATGCTGCTAAGCGAAACATTTGTTAAGTGAGTTTTGTCTCATTTTACAACTTTTCTTGCCACAGTTAAGTGAATCATTGCATTTTTAAAGTTAGTCACATGGTTATTAAGTGAATCTGAATTCCCCATTGACTTTGCTTGTCAGAAGGCAGCGGAAGACGGTCACATGACCCCAGGATACTGCAACAGTCGTAAGTATGAACCAGTTGCCAAGCACCTGAATTTTGATCATGTGACCATGGGGATGCTACAACGGTTGTAAGTGTGAAAAGCGATCATAAGTAACTTTTTTCAGTGCTGTTGTAACTGAATGGTCACTAAATGAAGAGTTGTAAGTCGAGGACTGCCTCTAAAGGCTAGGGTAATTATTTCTGGGCTAAATAAATAAATAACATCACCTATGCAGGATTCAATCTGGGTTGGTCACTGGGATCAGATGTATTTTCTTCCGAGGCCATCCTGAGGGAACTTCTCTCTAAGCTAGGAAGACAAAACCTCTGGTCCAGTGACTGAGCCAGATTGGATCCTGCAACATTATCCTGGGACATGCATATTCGCATTTGTAACATAACCTATGGAATGTGCCAAATTGATAAAACTATGAAAAAAGCATCACGGCGTAAAAAAGAAAAGTCATTTAAGCTCAAACCAGAGTGTAGCTTGGCAAAGCAGCAAGCCTGAACCCTGTCCCCAATTGTTGACATGGATGAGCATTGCAGCAAGGGGAAGCCTTGCACTTATGACTGTTGTAGTATGCCCATGGTCACATGATCAAAATTTGGCACTTGACACCTGGGCCTGGCATGTATTTATAAAGAATGCACTGTCCTGTAGTTGTGGGATTGCCATTTGTGACCTTCCCAGATGACTTCTGACAAGTAAAGTCAATGGGGGAAGGTGGATTTACTTAACAGCAGCATGACTCATTTAACAACTGCAGTGATTGCTTAACAACAGTGGCAAAAAAGATTATAACATTGGGCAGGGCTCACTTAAAAACTACCTTGTTTAACAATTCAATTCTGGTCTCAACTGTGGTTGAGGTTGAGGACTATCTGTACTGTTTTCCTGAATTAAATTGCAGAGGGAGGGGAAAATGGAAACTTACAAAATTCAAATAACCTTATTGTGGTGATTAACCAGCAGAAGGAAAGCTAGAAAACACTCCTCTGCACTGCCTAACTCCTGGCGGGTGGGCAAATACAGCAGATGTGAAGTAAGACACCTGTGGTCCCCAAGAAGGCATTTGTGAATCTACCACCCCATCTCTCTCCCCCCCCTTCCACAGATTTATACTCACAAGAGCTCTGCCAGTTCTGCAACCAGAGCAACAAGCAGATTCCGAGGTTGGTGGTACTTTCCCCAGCCCCACTCAGCTGTGAAGGCCACCTGGAGGCTCCAACTGCAGGAGACAAAGCAGAAGAGATGAGAATGCCTCAGAGATTATCCATATGCACCTCTTCCAGAAAAGGAGAAGCAGCATGAATGAAGAGTAAGTGGGATGAGATAAGGGGGTGTCTCGCATGTCTTCCAAAGTGGGATTGGCACTAAACCAAAATGGTGTTGGAGATGCGCTGGGCCCATTAGTCACTAGTGCCACATCTACTTCTTCCTCTTTCTTCTTCATTGAGTAGGCGTGCAAGGCCTGGTGAGGGAAATCAGAGTAAAGTGAATATTTATCTTGTTGGGAATAAAGAAATGGTTCCACCCCTTTGCAATGGCCTGCTTACAACTGGATAAGAAGTTAGATGTATGCTTGAAATGGAGGGCAGAGGAAAACTTAAAATGGATCTTTCTGGGGTAGCCTAGACTCTTTCCATGTCTGAGCATTAAGTAAGAACAAAAAACAATCTTGGGTCATAGCTTCTTAGAATCATTGGAGTTTGCTACTTTATTTTTTAGGGCAATTTGCAGTTAAGAAAAGGATTTTAATTTTCTTGGCTATTTGTCAGATTTTTTAATTAAAATAAAAATTATTTATAAATTTATAAAATTTATTGGCCACCCATCTTACCATGGGGTAATTCTGGGTGGCTTACAATCATAAAAGATACAAATTGTATAAACTAAAAACATAAGTTAATACACAAGCAAACAGTATGGCCCAATTAAAGATGGGGAGGGTGGGAACAGGATTGGGAGGGAGGTGGAATCTGTTATTAATTGATCAATCTCTTCCTCTGTGATGCTCCCCCATTGGAGCTCCAAGCTAATAGGCAGTATCTAGGAGACAAGAAAGTTGACAGAGATCAGATTTGTCTATAGAGCAAGCCACCATGTAACAGAATAACACAATAACAGAGTTGGAAGGTACCTAAGAGGTCTTCTAGTCCAACCTCCTACTCAGGCAGGAAACCATTTCAGATAAATAGTTGTCCAAATGTACAATCTCTTCTTAAAAACTTCCAGTGTTGGAGCATTCACAACTTCTGGAGGCAAGTTGTTCCACTGATTAATTGTTCTAACTGTATAATTGGCTTAGCCTAAGCATACTGTTTTTGCAAACAGCCAGGCAATCATAATTACTCAAGAAACTCAAGAAACTATGACTAAACAGCTTAGCATAACACATGAACTCTGTCATTCACTTTCTCCAAAACTGTCGCTTTAAATAATTCTTACAGCCTCCCAAGAAATTCTTAGGATCAAAATAGTCTCAGGAACTTCTTGAAGATGAGACTAAGGATGAATGAAATGCATCAATAAAATAGATACATACTGTAAATTAAAATCTCAATGTAATAGATGTGAAAATGGTTATGGGTGAGCAAATACAACAGAAGCTCTGTCACCTCTTTCCTCTTGAATATGGTGTTTGCAAGACCACAATCCTCTGAAACTCTATGTTCTTCATCAGTCTAGGACCCAGAAGACTCTGTGGTGCTGTCATGGGCATTTCTGGCTGCAATGTTGTGCGTGGGGAACAGACGAGGAGCCAGAATCCAGCAATGTTGCTTATTCAAGATAAGAGCAGACTATAAACCAACATCCAGTTTCCGGCCAACAGCTCCTTTTAAGGGAAGCTCCCAGCCAATTAACCAATAACTTTAAAATACATCCCCCACATGCACAGCAGTAGGAAAAGCCTCTGCTCATGCCTGCGTGGACATAACACCCATTCCCACTCGCAGGATGTTCCATTAATTTTGTACTACACAAACATAATTGTCCAGATACATTGGTCTTCGATGGCTTTGTGTTGACTTGCGGCTCTCCTGTATTTCTATCGGGGCCCCACCCATCGACCGCATCCTTGACACTTCTTCAACTACATCAGATTGATTACTAATGCTCTCCAGGGCCTCCAACTGGGCATATCCCTCAGCTGCAGACGAAGAAGAGTGAGGTGGACTTCACGGCAGTGGACCCTCAATAACAGGTGTTTCATTCTGCAGTGAACTCGGCCCTTTGGATACCATTTCACTGCATTGTTGTCCCTCTTGCTCTTCTGGATCCCCACCCTGGTTCGCTTTTTCCAGTCCCCTAGCAGCTGTTCCCACCGCACAGCTTCGAAGCTGGTCAACATGAAAGGGTTTCTATCGAATAATCTGGATGTATTCTGTCTAAATTTGTTCTCAAGCGGCGACCCATAAGTAATTCGGCTGGGCTCCTACTGGTGGCTACACAAGGAGTGACGTGTTGGTTAAACAAAAACTTATTAAGTTTCTCCTGATAGTCTCCGGGGCCCATCCGAGTCAATGCCTCTTTTGTTGTTCGCATCATTTGTTCTGCCTGCCCATTACTTGAGGGGTGAAATGGCACAACAAGGGTGTGCCATTGATTTACTAGGAATACCTTGAATGCAGTTGCCGTAAATTGAGGCCCATACCAACCCATGTGTTGCAAACATTTTGTTTAGTACCCTGGTAACAGCGTCCGTCGTAGTTGACGTCATCATGGCCACCTCCAGCCATTTGGAATACTCGTTGACGAGAATTAGAAAAGACATTCCATTTATCGGCCCTGCAAAATCAATGTGAATTGTAGACCAGGGGCCTTTCGGTGTTTCCCAGTCCCGTGATGGCACTGAAGGAGGTGCCGGTCTCGATTCCTGGCATGCTTGGCACAACGCTACACACTCCATGATAGCTCTATCTATATTTGGCCACCACAGATAGCTATGAGCCAACGCCTTCATCCTTACAATCCTGGGGTGGCCTTCATGTAGAGTCTCTAGCAGTGATTTCCTTAGCCTTGAGTGTATCACTACTCAGTTCCCCCACAACAGGCAATCCTTTTGCACAGAAAGTTTGTACTGCCTTGAATGGAATGGCTTAAACTCCACACTTCCTGTTTCTAGGCCATCCCTTCCACACCCAGTTTAATACTTGCATGATTGTTTGATCTTTTCTCAACTGGTTTGCCACTTCCGCAGCTGTAACCAGTTTGGACGGCATAGTCTCTGTCAGCAATACCGATGCTGCTGGAGCTGGATCCTCCACTAGATTTGGTACTGGACAATGGCTTAGGCCGTCAGCATGGCCCAGTTCTATGCCAGGTTGATGTATAAGCCAATTGTTATATGCTGCTAAAAACTCCATCTAGCCCATCATCCTTGGGGACAGGACCTGTTGTGTTTGCCGGTCCCCTGCAATTAGTCCCATCAGCGGCTTATGATCTGTTACTAAATCAAATTTCCTTCCATAAACATATTCATGGAATCTCTTAATACCAGCAACCGCAACCAATGCCTCTTTATCAAGTTGGCTATAGTTCCTCTCAGCTGATGATAGCATCCTGGAAAAGAATGCTATTGGAGCTTCACGTTTGTCTGGAAGGCGATGACTTAAAACTCCCCCAACTCCAAATGGGGATGCATCACACATCAGGACTAATGGCAGGTGGAAGAAGGCAGGGCTTAGCAGTGAGAAGACGGAGTTTCAGGCTATTCCTGAAATTCCCCTATTCCGAAGGAATTTGGACAGGTCAT